TGCAGCTCTTTCCCCTGCTTATTGAAACCCAGCTCAAATGCTGCCCAGGTGCAGCCTGTCGCTGCCCTTCTTTGGGCTTTAAATCACAGAAATACTGGAAAACAGCAGGAGATGTTGAAAACAAGTAAAGATGAGGATGGCTCGGTCCGACCTGGTGCTCCAGTGAGGTTTGTGCCTCTGGGTTGCCAGCTCCCACCATGATCAAACAGCTCCCAGATGGAAGCAGAGCCAAGTGGGGCTCTGCACCCAGTGCCAGAGGGCAGAAGAGCTGTGCTGGGGAGTGGGACAGACCATGAAGACACAGTTTGCAGCCCTGTCCCTGGGAAGATGCTGCAGAGGCAAAGCAATTCTGCACTGTTAGCCCCTGTGGGGTGAAGTATTCCTGGGGGAAGGGGCTGCAAGTGTGAAATCACTACGGATTTGAGACACAGACATGCAGCAAAGAGCACTGAAGTGGGTGTTCACAACACATCATTTCATTTCAACGGCATTTGGCATCAAATTGCTGTAAAACCAGTGGGCGGGGACTGCTTCTCACTGAAGAAGTTCATTAGATTATAAGTAATTTGGTTACATAGAGAGCAAGTAGAACCTGGGGCTGTTTTGAGGGGCTTTTTGAAAAAGGTCAGAACAATATATCAGCTGGCTTTTGGGACTGATGGCTGCTGGGGAGAAGATAGTAGATATTTCAAGATAAACACTGTACACTAGTGTATTTTTCTCCTGATTGTATATTTCCATCCTTCTCATACTTAACATAAAAAACATTTTGTGAAAATGACTGGCACAGCAGAGAATCCTATCAACTGAGTTACTGCCAGCACTTCTGGTGAAGAGGCACATAGCTGCTCTGGAGGACATGCAGGGCTGGAAGCTCTGGCATCTTGTGAAAGGGAGCTGGACCCAATCTCTGTGCCCAGCTCAGCAGGGGACAGAAGCTACTGCTTCTGCAAAAGCAAAATCCAAAACCAAAACCCAAGCCCCAATATTTTTCCTGTGGGCAAGTGAAGCCATGTCTCCTCTGGAGTGCCACACCTATGGCTAAACACTCGTTTGGGAAGGTGAAATATTGCCCTGGCTCACCAACCAGAACAGTGGCTGCTGAGTAGGTGGCAGGACGTTGTTTTTGAAGCCATGCCAGCTAACTCAGCCTCTCTGCGTAAGCACCATTAAACACTGGATTCCCTGGAAGCCTGGTGCTGATGGCAGCGGATGGTGTCCCCACCCGAGCAGTCCAGCCCTGCTCACCACTGGATCGTGTCACAGATTTAAGTGCCCTGCTAAGCAGTAAGAGATGGAGATATGCTTGGTGTCCTGCTCTGCTGAGGCTTCTGATGAACAAGCATATTCACCAGAGTTTTAAGTCCCCACAAAAATATCCTAGAATAACATCAGTCTCTATTTCATGCTACAATCCAGGTATTCCAAAAAAGAAGATTATAAATTCCAAATTCTGCATGTGCTCGACATTTATTTGAATACATAAGATCTAAAAAATGTTAATATCCATTGCCCTCCTACACTGTGAATTTACTGAGATAGGTGCTGTGAGTGGAAGATGAATTTCTCTTGTCCAGTAACTCTCACCTTCTAGCTTGGATTTTAAAGGAAAGCCTGAGCTTTGCTTGGTTACAGATGGTTTTTAGATTAAGCTGAGTGAAAACAGAATCTGGACACAGCCTGATTCTGAATGCTGTGGCACACTCTGGAGTCTCATTGGCTTGCATGGCACAACCATGCCTTTCAGAACAGTTCCTCTGACTAGCTTGGCTCTGACCCTTCATTTTGAGGCATGGGTAAAAGTATCTGGACTGCAGGACTGGTTGTGAAAAAATACAGCAAAATTAATCAGCCAGGTGGAGTAGTCAAAATGCAAGGCTGAAGGGTGTCAAAACAACCATGGGTGCTAAGAAAAGTGTCATTCCTAGCCTGTGTTGCCACTGTTTGAGATGTACATTCCAGACTCCAGTTCCACCTCTCTGTCATTCACCAGTACCTCTTGTTTTGATCGATAACCCTCCAGTCACCAGCTAAAAGGTATTTCCAAATATTTCACTAAAAAATCCTGAATTACATTTACAAATCCTTATCTACATCCTGGCTACACTCTCAAATTACTGTAATTTCTACTTTTTCTCCTGCTACCTAACATTTCAAGGATTAACTGGGCAGTGTGTAACCTCTTCTAGTCCTATGTAACAATGTCTGCTCTCTCTTCCTTTGTCTTAGCATTCTCCAATCTGTCTCTAGATTCCTGTGCTTGTTTTCAAGGCAATATCCAAGTGTGAAGCTGCTTTAGCCATTCATGAGGATGAGATTTATTATCTAGAAGCACACCAATAATACAGTATTAAAAAAAAAAATAGCACTCTTTCATCAAAATCTAATGAACATGCGATTTAATCTTTATTAAGAATTCATTCAGTTCTCAGCAAGGCTGTCTAATGGAGCTCGACCAGGTGAAATGCTAATGCCTAGATTATATTTAAATTAATTTTCAGCAGTGTTGGTTTCCCCGTGTTGCTGCCTGCACATCGCTCTCCCCGGCGCCCGCGGCTGCGCCGCTCTCTCCAGATGCTGCTGCCGTGCTCATAGCAACACCGCTGTCCCCACCCCAGCCTCCACACACTTCACTGGAGTTTCCACACTCACAGATGCCTCCCAATTTCCAGCACTATAAGCCCATCTCCACCATAGCAGCTTCCTTGACGTTTTCATATTAGGTACAAAGCTGCAAGCCTAGCATGCCTTACTTTGAGTAGTTTTAATGAAATGCATGTATATATATATATATAAAAAATATGTATACCCACACACAAAATGGGTATATTTCAGTTCTCAATATAACAATCTAGTCCAGCAAACAGGTTACTATGTTGTGATTTGCTTCACAAAACAAGAGCTCTGCTCTTTGGAAAACAAGAGTGATTGTATGCTTATTGTGTAGCCAGTGTGGTCACTGCCAGCCCTCCTGCCTATGGGCTCTATGTGTGCACTCTGCTGTTGTAGCTCCTACAGCCTTTCCCTTCAACCAAAACCCATCGCCCGCCATTCCAGCAAGCTTCTGCAGAAGCAATTCCTAGAGATTAAATAATTTATTGGTGTTCATCTGCAGCGACATGTCTCCCGATCCACCTTCTGCACACAAACAAGAGCAAACCAAACATACCCCACCCCAGACCCAAATCCACTGTGGGGGTGAAAGGGGGAAAAGCCCCCTTTCAAACAGTGAAAGGGGATAATCAGAGCCTCTACAGAAGCAGGGTACATAAACGTCAGTGGGAAAAGCCACGGACACCACTGTGCACTAGAGGCGAGTCTCCTCACAATGAGACCTCCCAGCCCCGCAGCGCCTTGGGAAAAGCACTGCCTCAGGCGGGGATGATGGTTTCATTGAACCCCCGAGGGGTGGGCACAGCGGCCACGGAGTTGATACAGAAATATCCGGGTCACCTGCTCAGCCACCCTGCCTGGAGGGAAGCTGGGCTGAAGGCCCAGATCTGCCCCCATCGTGCACGCACATGCACACGCACATGCACACCCACATTCACACACACTCACACTCTCTCTCTCTCACACACACACTCATACACACACAGGCACACACTCACACACAGGCGCACACACACACACTCATACACACACAGGCACACACACACACACTCACACACACACACTCCTACACTCACACACACTCACACACACACACTCCTACACACACTCACACCCACATTCACACACACACACACTCACACCCACATACACACACACTTACACACACACAGGCACACACTCACAGACACACAGGCACACCCACATTCACACACACACACACACACACACACACACACAAACACACACACCACTCACACCCGGGGCGGCTACGGGAGCTCAGGGCTGCAGCTTACGACGGGCACGGGCCCCTCTGCTTATTCCGGAGCCCCTTAGGCTTCTCCCGGCCCCTCCGGAGGCAGTCGAGCGCGGTTCGAGCCCCCGCCGGGCGCTGTCCAGCACGAACCGCCTGAACGCCGCGCCGGGAGCCGCCCGTCGGCCCGCGCAGCCCCGGGTCCCCGCGCCGGAACCTGCGCCCCGCTCCCCGCGTCCCATCCACACCCATCTCTGAGCCTCTGCCCCTCGCTAAGCAACCCCGGTCCCGGGGGGCCCCTCCCAGGCACGGATCCCTCTGCAACCACCAGCATCGCAAAGCGGCAACCGCTCCCAGCTGAAATCCAGACCCTGAACCAGCGCCCAGGCTCGTTCCGTGATGGCGCCCGCCTCCAACCAGCCCGTCATGTTTGTAGCGGTGGGAGGACGGGATATTTCATTGTATTTTAATTTTTTTTTTAAATGGGAGGGGGGAGAATAGTCGCACCACGGGGGTACCTCCACATTCCCTGCACCTGCTTTCCTACGGGGTGCGTTTACACGAGCCACGGGGATGCTTGGAAGAGACCTTGCGGTGGGGCTCTTCGCTGCTGTTTATTACACGGTTACATCTCATTAAACACAGAAAAAGGGTGTGGGAAGCCCCAGCGAGGAGCAGCGCCGAGTACCAGAGGGAGACTCGGATCCCAGAGCAGGAGAGGTTTGAATGAGATGAATGGCCAAGCTCGTCGTTCATTAATTAAAAGAAGAAGGTACCAGCTCAATAAAAGGGGCTTTCAGCGATAGGGAGCCTTGGTTTAAATCCGCAGAGCCGGCAGATAACACCCCGACATTAAGCTTAAGTGACAGCGGTTCGCTGCACGGGGACATCTGCGCCGAGGGGGAAGGTGGGCTGCCGGCCTCCCTGCACGGCCGCCGGGGGCGAGGCCGCGGGGCGCCGCTTCAGCACCAGCGGGCCCTGGACAGCGCCGGGAGCGGCGGCGGCCCCGCCGCGCTGTGCCTGCGCGGTCCCCTCAGGTAAACATGGCGCCCGCGGCCCTCGCTCACCTCCGCGAGCCCCCGCCCCGCTCTCCCGCCCCGCACCGCCGCTCGCTCGCTCCCCCCGCGGGACTTACTTCATTTGCTTCACGATGGTGCTTTTTCCCGACTCTCCGGCTCCTGTTGGAAGAGAGATGAGGTGGGATAAGCACGGGGGAAGAGGAGGAGGAGGGGGGCGATGGGGGGCGACCGGCGGGTTCTCACCGAGCAGGAGTAGTTTCACGTCTTTGGCCGCGCTGATCCCGTCCTCCTTCAGGTTCTTCTCGATGGCCTTGCTCCGCTCCAGGGCGGCTCTTTCCTCAGCACTCAGGGTACATCCCATGGCGGCGATGAAAATTTAAAAAAAAAATGAAAAAAAAAAAAAGGGGGGAGGGGGGATGCAGCCCCCGCCGCCTCGGCTGGCTCCCGCGGGCAGAGAGGAGGAGGCGGCCGGGGGGCAATAAAAGAATTAAAGCAAATGGCCGTGAGGCTCCGGGTAGCACAGCGCCTCCGCGGCGGGGCTCCCGGCTCCCTCCTGCCCCTCTCTCCCCGCGCCCGAGCGCTCAGTGCATCCAGCGGGGCTGCAGCGGGCACGGCGAGCTCTTCCCGGCCGGGAGGCGGAGGCGGAGGCGGGGGAGGAGGTGGAGGAGAAGGAGGAGGAAACGGGTTGGCGGCGGGGGAGGGTGCGTCCCTCTCCCGTGCTCCCGACTGTCGCTGTCCCCTCCTCGGCGGGCGGCGGCGGAGCCGAATGGAGGCGCGGGAGCGGCGGCGGGCGGGCGGGCGGGCGGGAGGGAGGGAGGAGGGAGCGCGGGGGCGCGCCTGGCTGCGCGCTCCCGCCGGCCTCGCCCGTGACGCGCGCGGCTCGCGCATGCTCGGGGCCGCCCCACCCGGGCCCGCGCCCGCTGCTCGCGGCGGGGCCGCTCGCTCGGCACGGGCGGGGGTCGCGGCCCCGTGCCCGGCCCCTCGCCTGTCCCCGGACGGGAGAGGCCGCGGCCTGGGCTGCTGCCCCCCGTTCCCTGGGACTCAGAGCTGGGGTCTGCCTTGGTGGAGGGTCTAAAGGGGAAGCCGTACGAGGAGTGGCTGAGGGCACTTGGCTTGTTCGCCTGGAGAAGAGACTGAGGGCAGAGCTCATGGTGGGCTGCAGCTTCCTCGGGAGGGGCAGTGCAGGGGCAGCACCGATCTCTTCTTGCTGTGACAGGACCCGAGGGAACGGCTGGAGTTGTGCCCCGGGAGAATTAGGCTGGGTATTAGGAAAAGGTTCTTCACCCAGAGCGTGCTTGAGCACTAGAGCTCCCCAGGGCAGTGATCACAGCTCCAAACCTGGCAGGTTTCAGGAAGCATTTTGTCAAGGCTCTCAGGCACATTGTGTGACTCTTGGGGATGTCCTGTTTAGGGCTAGGAGTTGGACTCGATGATCCTTGTGGGTCGCTTCCATCTCAGGCCATCCCACGATTCTGTAGGAATGGTGCAGTGCAGAGCAGAGTGCTTGGGGCTGTGACAGCAGTGTGTCACCTGGGGCTGTGACAGCAGTGTGTCACCTGGGGCTGTGACAGCAGTGTGTGTCCGTGGGCACTGGGCTCCCCTGGCACTGCCCCAGGCACTGTGGGGCCCCTGGCTCCCCACGTGCCCTGAGGGTCCCCGCAGCTCCTGCACCCACACCCTGCGCCTGCCCCCACCCCACAACGCCATGGATGTGACCTGACCTGCCAGGAGCCCTTTGGGAGCTCCGCACTGTTCAGGGACTTTGATCAACACTTGCAACGTGAATCGTTTACATGCTCCGTGCAAAGCATCAGGTTTCAGCACCATGTTGGATTATGTTTTCCATCAGTGTAATTAACAGATGGTTTGGGTTTTTTGTGCTGCAGTGCGGTCACAGACCTCACCAGATGACCTGCCTTCTTTTCATAACCATTCCATTACATCTAACAGTGATTTAAGAATTCTAGTGAATTAAAGTCCCACAATTTTCCTGGCAGGTTTTGCCATTTCACAAGGTTGGAAAAGAGAGAAGAAAACAAGTGTCAACAAGGAAAATAAAATAAATTGAACTTTGTTTAAAATGCTTTCCTACAGGCCCGGACAAGTCACAATATACTCAACTTTAATCCATAACATTGATTGATATGTGACAATCTAGCTATAAAAAGATCTAGAGAGGAAAGACGTATTGAGCACAGTGAGGTAAAATGCATCAAACTAAAATGAGGATAATCAAGGATTGCTACCTGATCCATGGAAAGGACACCCACCATTTCAGTAAACAAGAAATCTGCAAAGGGAGGTTTGGTTGTTCGGAAGTAGATGTGAATGCTGAGGCTGCTGATTTTGCCTCTAAAAGCCACTCCACCTCTCTGCCAAAAAGCACCCAGCTACAGGAGGCCTGACAGGAAATCCCTGTGCTGTGGGAAGGAAATGCAGGGCTGCCCCGCAGGCCTTGGGGAAGGCAGGGGGCTGCTGTTCATGCTGTTGGGTGTGGGTGACCAGTGCTTACACTCTGTGGGTTTTCCACCTGGGACCTCTGCTCACTGCCTCCTCTGTGATTGTCGTACCTGCTCTCCTGAGTTCACCAGATCCCATGTCCAGGACTATTTCCTTAGAGGTAGAAATATAATTTCTGATAGCACTTAGAGTATTTGAAGCATGAAGTCACAGGCACTTTCCTTTCAGGCAGCCATCATCTCCTCCCAGTGCTGTTTCCCATTCTGTCTTCCTCACAGAGCATGTTCTTCCCATTTTCCCTCCTGACTTCTGAAACAAAAGGGAAAAACAGGACATGAGGTTAACGAGGTAAAGAGGGGGTATGAAAGAAAAGCAGACAAAAGAAAGCATAAGGTAACTCAGTGTATTCAATGACCAGTGATATTTACTACACATTTGTGAGTTAACAGGTGCAGTGTATTTGAATTTTGAGTAATTTATTTCTGGAAGTTCAGGGGACTGAGATGGACAAGCAAGCCTACAGCATGTGTTCAGCAGGGAATAAATGGAGATGGGTGTGGTTACAGAGCAGTTCCTGCTCTTTCATATTCACACAAATCTCATGTGTAAAATCAATAGGATCAGAATTTCAATCAATAAGTTTCATTGCAATGGTTCTAGCCAGAGGGAATTATGAAAAGTGCCATATAGAAAAAACACAATGAAGAAATCCAGAGGCAGTGTCCTCATGAGATGGCTGGTTTTTCTTCCCGTCTCCTCCAGCAGCTTGCCAGCCTTGGACTCATATTGGGAAACTCTCCAAGGGTTTTACTAAGAGAATTAGTCTTTTGTATCAGCCTCTGGCTACTCGTTATCTGACAAATTTGTAGCCCGAGTCTCCTGCCATGGAGAAAATGATTTCTCTTCTTCTTGACCAGTGTGGAGTCTGCAGTCAGCCCTTTGTCCCATGAACATCCCCATTGCTACACAATAATCTGCTAATTTCTTTCTTAAGGGAAAATCAGAAATTGGCAAGTCTTCTCCTTGCTCTCTCAGCTCTTAGAAAAATTCAGGGGAGCAGCTGTGAAATTGAGCCATTTCTGAGCCATTTTTTTCCTGCTGCTAACTGAGCAGAGCTGGTGGAAACGTTTCTTTCAAAATTTTCTTAGAGGGAAATTTAATTTTTTTTAAAAATCTGCTTATTCATGGCAGATGAATTTCATGAACATGAAAGAAAAAAGGTTGCCTCCTCCACCAAACAAAATGCATTCCAGCCTACTTGGCTTTTGAGATAAATATATTGGGTTTTGTTGCTGAAAAAGATGTTTCCCTTTTTCAGGAGCTGACAGAAGTCCTCTTTTAATAAAAGAGGACTGGTTGCTGGTAGTAACAACTTCAGATGAAAATAGGCTTCTTTTTTTTCCCCTTGTAAATGAGAGAACCTCTCCATTAAAGGTGGAGAGGAGGAACTTTCTTTCTGGCTATTCCTGCAATTAAACTGTTTCATCAAGGTGCATAAAGAACTCGTCTGTTTCTGCTCAGACTGCTCTCTCCCAAACCCAAGAGTCAGCAGTGTATTTTAAGCAGAAGTCTTCATTCTCCTGTATCTGATTTGTGCCTCAGCAAAACCCCGCTTCTTTCTGCAATCAGTTTTCAAACATTGTGCTAGGAAAGTTAATCAGATAGTAATTTCTTTAAGAAGTGAAGGATGGTAACAGAAATAATGGGTGCCATTGAAAAAGACTGTGCCAAAGTGATATTGCAGGGTAGACGACAGCTTTATGATCTCACGTGTGTTGTCTTATCCTGGGTGCTTCCAGACTGGGGACAGATGAGCCTTCCAGCACACATCACCATCAGGGCTCTGCTACCCAGCTCAAGGGCTTGTAGAGTGCTCTGGCCTTCCTCCTAGAATCACAGAACAGTTTGGGGTGGAAGGGACCTTTCAAAGCCATCTAGTCCAAGCCCTCTGCAGGGAGCAGGGACAACTTCAACTGGGCCGTGTTGCTCAGAGCCCTCCCCAGTCTTGCCTTGAATGTTTCCAGGAATGGAGCATTCATCACCTCTCTGGGAACCTGCAGTGTTTCACCCCCCTCAAAAGCAAGCATTTATTCCTTATATCTAATTTAAATCTACCCTCTTCTAGTGTAAAACCATTGTTTCTTTTCTTATTGAAACAGATCTTACTGAAATGTTTGTTCCCACAGCTTGCCAGGAGGTTGCAAAGAGGGGTGAGAAAACTCTTCCATGGACCTTGAGAAAGTTTCAGAGCTGCCACGACACTCCCACCACCACACCAGAGGTTGCAGTGGTATTGGAGGGAATACCACATTGGTTCCATCCCCGTCATTAGTTGATATTGCAGGATCAGCACATCCTCAGAGAACTGGTGGGTGGTATGAGGAGGGAGTGGGGCAAGCCCAAAATGATGTGATCATAGGAGGAAAGCTGCAAAGCTTTGCAGCTCATCTTTCCCCTCCTACCTCAGGGTTTCTCTGTCCAATCTATAATCTTATATTCCTTCAGTGTGGTTTTAATGTACATGCTAATGGAATGGCCGCCAATCCCACGGAGATAGCGATGCATTCTAGCAGATCTCACCATTAGGAAGTTTTGCCCGGATATTCAGGTTAATTTTTCATTCTTTAAATTGCTGTCAATTACCCCCCAGCTAAACCTAGTTATGTAGTGGAAGACAGGTTTAAAATACTGCATGATCTCACTAAATTGGAGAAATGGACAGAAATCAATACAATGAGAAGCAATAAGAACGCCCATAAAGGTTAAGTGGTTGATGGAGGAAGGATTAATGAAATGCACAGATACTAGGTTAAATTGCAAATATCCTTACTTCACTCTTACTCATTCCATACCCCACAAATATGTTCTAGTCCAGCAAATCAAATGAGGAAGCACCTTAGAATTTGACTAGCGATTTGCAGAAGTAGAGATGAGTATTAAGTGAAGAGATGGTCTAGGGTGGATTTGTTGTGTAGAAAATTGGCTATAAGACAAGAATGAGACACCAAGAGTCAAAAAAAAAAAAAAGTGATCTGTTGATAAGAATATGACCTGCAATATAATTGGTGTCAAGAAGTAAGTTGGACAGCCTGATGAAGTCTAGAGAAATGCAGAAAACCCTTCTTTTGTTGTTAGTTTTTCATGTCTGTCTGGTGGACAA